GATATAGAAGAGGGGTTTTTTTCCCCTACAGTCTCTGTGAATATAACTGGATCTTTTCAGTAAAATACCTGTTGTTTTTTTTTTTTCTGTGTATCCTGAAATTCCAGACAATTTCTGTGATTAATGCAGCGCTTCAGTTTCCGTATTTGGAGGCTTGTTACATTGATGGCATTGTTTCCGTTGTCAAGCAGCATGAGTGTCAAACTAATTGCGTGACCTGCTTAAAAATCAGACAAGCTTGTAATTATCTAACATTACAGGAAAGCCCCTCTCTTTAATTAATGAGAGGTTTCTGTTTAGTTTCTTCTCTTTATGAGCCTCGGATGAGCGCCTCTCATCTGTGTGTTTTGGTGTTTGCAAGAAAACAGTTTTCTCAATGCTCTTACGTGTGTATTTATTGATTTTTTTATTTTTATTTTTTTATTTTTCAGCTACTCTGGATCAGCCTGAGATATGGGGTTCGGTCCAGCCCGTCAACGCGAGCGTGGAGCCCCCAAAGTTACCGAGACCTTTCCCAACTGGAAGTAAGTGACCGTGCAGGTTATCAACCAAAAATAAATGACTAGATACAGAAATCAAATCTTTTACTTTTCCTCATCCAGACTCACAGAATCACAGAATGGTAGGGGTTGGAAGGGACCTCTGTGGGTCATCTAGTCCAACCCTCCTGCGCTGTGAGATGCTGTGATTTTATTTTTTTTTTTCAACCCATAGCCAGTTAGAGGGGTTTTTCCTCCCCTGGCTTGCCCCTAGCTGCCGTGCATGAGGGTGGAGGACGGACAGGGGCTCGATCCGGGCTGGGATGGGTGGGACAGAGAGGACGCACGTCCTCCCCACGCAAACACCTGTGCTCGATTCGCAAGGAGAAACATCTCCGGCCGGGCAAAGTGATTGTGTCGCTGTGCTGGCACTGGTGAGGCTGCACCTCGAGTGCTGTGTTCAGCTTTGGGCCCCTCAGTCCGAGAAGGACAAGGAGGGGCTGGAGCGTGTCCAGAGCAGGGCAGCGAGGTGGGGAGGGGGCTGGAGAACAAGTCTGATGAGGAGGGGCTGAGGGAGCTGGGGCTGTTCAGGCTGGAGAAGAGGAGGCTGAGGGGGGACCTCATCGCTCTCCACATCTCCCTGACAGGAGGGGGTAGTGAGGGGGGGTTGGTCTCTGCTCCACAGTAACCAGCAACAGGATGAGAGGCAATGGCCTCAAGCTGCGTCAGGGGAGGTTCAGATTGGAGATTGGGAAAAATGTCTTCACTGCAAGAGTGGTCGGGCATTGGACCAGGCTGCCCAGGGCAATGGGGGAGTTCCCATCCCTGGAGGGGTTCAAACAACGTGTGGCTGTGGCACTTGGGGACATGGTGTAGCAGGCGTGGGGGTGTTGGGTTGATGGTTGGACCTGATGATCTTCGAGGTCTTTTCCAACCTTAATGAGTTGATGATTCTATGAGAAGGCCTGTGTGGAGCCAGCAGTCAAACCCACCCCGCACCAGGAGGCGAGGAGTACCGGGCTGCCCATGGTAACGGTGCGGTTACTTGGCTCGGAAGCACCAATTTCTCCGGGCTAACGTCAGGAAGGGCAACGCAGCCCCCAACCCCCGGTTTTTGTTGTGGCTTTCCCCATTCCCTGGGTGGACCGGGGGAACCCCAGCCCTCCCTC